TAATATATATAGTTTACAACACTACCGTTATAAAATCCTCAAAGGTTCAGACGCTATAAGCCCTATTGTTGTGAGGCTCTGAATATAAATTACGACTGTCATCTCTGTGTTGTGCTGCCAACCATTTTAACTGCTTATCATTTCTAGAATATCCATACTCAGTTCCTGAGGGAATTCAATAAAAAGGTGTCAAAGGATTATGTCATTCCCCAGTAAAGCTGATACTACACTACACCACAGCAGGCTGTGCCTCAAATAAAAGATGAGACTCTACAAACAAAACAAAGATGGTGGATTAAATAATAATCTTGATTACTGACTCCTGCTTTTCTTTCTGAATTTTCTAATGATATCATAGCATTTCTAAAGAACATTATATTACTGTGCTGAGGATGACATTCTGTAAAAACCTGAAGAGGGTAACCCCATTTAACCCTTGGGTTAAACACATTTGTGCACATTTATTACTTAAGTAGAAGTATAGATACTGCAGTTTAAAAAAAACTCTGGTAAAAGTTGAAGTATCAACTTGACCTCTTTACTCAAGTAAAAGAGAAAAAGTATGTGGTCCAAAAACTACTTAAAGTATAAAAGTATAAAGTAACTTAAAAAAAAAACAGCCAGACGCCTCTATATCAATTTTTTGACTATTACGAAAACTTCTTTGAACTATGGCCAAGGATGGTTGGCCTCCGTCTCCACCTCCCGATAGGCTCTCGCCTGTGTCCGACCTTTCAGACATTTTGACATCTTTTTCTGAATCCGACATTGTAGCATGGCATAGACAATTCACGTTTGCAGTTTGAAGAACACCTGCTTGCTGCTGATGATTTCCTTTAGCTAACCAGTGAGTTTTTGCATTATATGACATCCAATTACACTTGTTTTCACTAGATGTGGATGGCGCCAATGATCTGCATTGGATGGCACAAATGGCGTGAAATAAATATTTATAAACATTAAACCGAAGCAAAGAGTAACGAGTACCGTTTGATTTAAAAATGTAAGGAATAGAAAGTACAGATACTTGTGTAAAAATGTAATGAGTAGAAGCCAGAAGTAGGAAGAAAAAAAGTAATGGAGTAATGTATAGATACCTAAAAAGTACTTAATTACAGTTAAGAATTATTTGTACTTTGTTACTTGACACCTCTGCCTAAATGTTAGCTTCATTAATTAGCTAGCATGTCAGCTTAGCAGTTTCTGGAAACTTACTCATAAGCCAGTTCCCTCAGCTAATGCAAAATGCTCATTGATTTACAGCTAAACAATCTACATTTGATCAGAGGGTTTTTTCCTCTCGTTTTGGGTCTCTAAGCACACTTGATAACACGGATTTGTTGTGGGTGTGAATGAGAAGGAAAGTCCGACAGGAGCTATAAAAGTAGAGAAATAGATAGTGGCTGTCTTTTTATAGGATGTTGGCTAATCAAAAGTTTTATGCACCTATAAAGAGTTCAAAGGTCACGTTGACTTTCTATGGTTTAGAAAGTCTGAAAATGGCTGCAATGTGTGAAATGGAAGTTAAGTATAACATCAGATGCTTTTACCAATTCAGTCAGTCAGACCTGAAAGCCTGAGGTGCTTCAGTCATGCTGTCATCTTATTGAGGGAGAGTTTTTATCTACATTGTATGCCCACACCTTTTTATTGTAATAGGATGAATAGCGTGTTCAGGAATTTTCTTATAAGAATGGATTTTTTTTTTTCAGTAGTCTGCTTTATTCACTTTGCATTCTCCCACACATCAGAAGACTTTTTCTCATGTCTAGATAATACATTTGTTAAATTAAAAAAAAATGTTTCGTAGTTACACTAAGTAAAGTATAATTTTTATGTATCTTTGTGTAATAATAGGAAATGTAAATGGTAATAGGGAAAAATAAAATCCTGTTTAAAAATCAATGCTTGTAAAATAATTTACACCACTTTAACCCTACAATCGTTCACACACAAATCCTAACTTCAGTGTATTTTATTATGATGTTTATATATTTAAATATCAATAGAAGTAGTGCATAACTGTAAGGAAGCAGACAAATGATAAATGGCTTTACAATTATTCTATAAACAAAAATTTGAAAATGCAAGGTGCATTTATATTCAGCACTATTAAATAACTACTAAAGCCGTCTTTTGCTTCAGGGATATGTCATTATCCTCTCTAATACAGATATTTTCCCTTATGTTAATGATAGTGAAAGCTCTGTAAGATTGGATGGATAGCTACTGTGTGTGTGTGTTTTAATGTCTAGCCAGATATCCTTATATGACCGGGTCATCCTCTGAGATAAGTCCATCGCTTGGACTGAACCTCTCTGGATGAATGTTTAGGGTTAATGACCTGCTGGGCAGTGAACCTCCACCCTTGTCTTAAGTCTTTTACAGCCTCATTGTATTTTTTTCTCAACATTGCCGTCTATGAGGCTCCATCCATCTACCAATCAACTCTGCCTATTTTCCTTATACCCATTTGAAACACTCCCCCTGCATGATTTTGGCACCACCATGTTCTATAATGGGTATGACGTATTCAGTGTGACATGATCTGTTAACTTTCCCCTACATGTAATCAAATCTTCATGCCTTTACATAAACAAAGATTCGGAACACCAGAAAATGTTATCTTGCCTCAATTATTTTCTACACCACTAATCTTATTTAGAGCTTTTTAAGTTTGTTCTAGTATGTTCTGGACAATGACTACTTTTAACAATTCTTATTTTATGTCCCTGACTAAGTCAATAAATGGAACAAATGGGGGGTGCCCGTTCTCCAAAGCCAATCATCTTTCAAGATCCCCTTTATTTAGCTCCTCGCCTAGCTTCTCTCCCATATGCAAGCAAACTTTTCTCCACCTCCACCCCATCTCCTCACTCATTCTCAGACTATACTCAGTCCCACTCATCCACTGGTTTATTCCACCATCAGCGTTTGGCCCCCGGAGAGGAAGACTACTTTAATTCTTTCTTGGTTACTTATTTAAGCAGATGTTGATTCATAGCATCGAAGTCTTCTCCCGAGGCCCAATCAGCAAATAATCTATTTCATTTATGTAATTTTCTGCTTCCATCTCCTTGAACCCCAGTCGGCCTCTGCAGATGGCCGCTAACACTGAGCCTGTTTCTTCTGGGGTTTCTTCCTGTTAAAAGGGAATTTTCCTCCCCACTGTCCCAACATGCATGCTCAATGTGAGGGATTGCAGAGAGTCAACGAGTCCTGGCAATCAGCTGGTTTTGCTTAGATAAAAACATTTTGAACTGATTATGTTACCTGTATAAATAGATTAAATAATACTTTCTAATTGCAGTTTTTCTGTGTGTGAGTCTCTCCAAGATGAAATAGCTTTAGAAATACTTAAGTGAAATAACAGGCTGTCAAGACCTTTTGGCCTGACCCAAATTATTGTAACTGTTGAGGAATTTCTAATTCCACTTTGTGTTAGAGGGCTTCCCTGTTTCTGCTTTTCCATTTTGTTAAGGTCAAGGGATTTTGAAGGGCTGTGGCAAATCTTTCAGGCCATCCTTTGTGCATTCTCAGTTTTGTGAATAAAGTATCTTTCAAATCTTGTTTTCAGCTACTTCAATGTTTGCTTTTAGCATTGCAGTTATCACATTAAAGCCCCGTTCCCACTATAGGAAGTCCATCTTTTTTACTCTAAAATTCTAATAAGAAAATAAAGGTACTCCTATTTTGGATGATTTTTGTCATTAGCTGTGTTTCCACTCAAATTGAGAAAATTGTAACCACTAAATGTCCTTTGTTGGAAACAAAAGATATCTTTAAATAAAAAGTTATTGTGTAAGATTGAGTTGGCTTTTTTTAAAAATAATTTTTACATTTTTATATCATGCAAACTGCAATGGAAACACTTCTTTCACATAACATGAAAATGTCACCAATAACAGGATGTTACTAATGGTAAAAACAGACAAAGAGGACAATAGGATGGTGGCTCTGCATGTTTTTGCATGAGTTATCGTGTAAACAAACATATTCACATCTGATTTTTATTGCGTATCTTATTCAATGGAAACAACGCAAATGCAAAATTGTCTATTGTCAACATTAGCAAAATATTGAAATAATTAAGTACACATTCGTGATTTGTGAAATACAACTATTGTTACAATTGGTAAGTCAATCAATCTTAACAGCAGTTTATTAAGTCATCAGCAGTCCTAAACCCGCTCCTTAGTGTTTTTAAAGACATTGATGTAGATGTAAAAATCAGTAGTAAGAAATTTGGAGGGTAAATGGCAAAAAACTCTCAGACTTTTGTCCTTTGTGGAATTTGGATGGCATAACAATACATGGCATTAGCCCTAGTTATTCATTCAAGGGCCTCTTTGCAAAATAAAATTAAATACATTTTGATTACCATGCATTATTTTACAAGTGCTCAACTGAAAATGAACAAGAAATTAGAATAAAGAGAACAAAAGCTCGGTTCGTAATCAAGCTTTGCATAAGTGCCGTTGCTCAGCTTTTATACCTAACAAGATAATTATGTATCCCCTTAGACAAATGCATTCCCGCCAAAATGACTCCAATCCTATTCCTCCTGAGTTTTTCACAGCCAGACCATGAATAAAAGGCATGAATAAGATCTTGATTATCTTATTACTGGCCATTTCCTTTTTATAAACTCAAATACATGGGTTAAGCTTAAAAACAATACTTTGTATTTGGTTTTTCAATCAGCTGCAGTAAAATTAAAGGTTGTAACCATAAAACAATTGCAGTAGAGTTCACTGGCCGTGAGGTGAAGTAACGGATAACCCTGATGAGCTGTCAGCATTTTACTCACTGCATGTGAACTCCACAAACGGCGATTTATGCGGTTTATTGCCCTCTCCCTTGTTGCCCATTTTACTCATCATCTTTTGTAGTTACTGCCCTCTTGAGTGGTCACATGTGGAAGAGGGAGGTGGCAAGAGGCCTTTTACTGTATAAAAAGGTAACAGCCCTGGTCCCAGTACCTTGCGCTTCACTCAGCTTGCCTCAGCATCTCTTCTCTCACTCACCAACCCACCAACACTACTAGAAATGGCCTTCTCTGGAAAATGGGAACTTGAATCCCAGGAGGGTTATGAAGAATTCTGCAAGTTGGTTGGTAAGGGGAAAAAAATACTCAATCTAGAACTTTACCAAATCTTATTTTGCTTTTCTCTGGAGTTAGTTGGACATTATTAATTCTCATTTTTGTATGTATCCCACTTTAGGCATTCCCGACGATACCATCCAGAAGGGTCGTGACTACAAGCAGGTCACAGAGGTCGTTCAGAATGGGAATGATTTCACCTGGACTCAGTTTTACCCATCCAACCACAAGGTCACCAACACCTTTTCCATCGGCAAAGAGGCTGATATGCAGACCATTAGCGGAAAGAAGTTTAAGGTAGGAAAGGATCTCTCGTTTCCTAACATTGCCAGCATATCGAATCAAGACGAATTATCCTCACACAGACAGACATATAACAGAACATTTCCTTTTTATTATAATAATAATCTCTTCTTGTTGCTGAAAGATGGTAAGTTGATGGAGCCAATCATAAGCAATGACTTTCAGCATCTCTGTTCAGGCTAAATTAGGACTGAATCTGTGGGAGATATGCAAGGTCTATCCTCCAAAGATGCCTTGTCTGGAACGTCTGGTATTTAAAGGGCTGCCCCACTAACATCCTCTCTGTGTTTTCAGGCCACCGTAAACCTGGATGGAGGGAAGCTGACTGTGAGCTTCCCCAACTATCACCAAGTCAATGAGATCAGCGGGGGCAAGCTCATTGAGGTAAACACACTCCCTCAGGCTTTTAATGCAGGGAAAGTCATGCAATGACAGCAGCTATTACACTCAGCACCCCGCAGGGACCATTAGAGTCATCAGAGTTATATGGGCTGTGGCTTGGGAACAGCTCAAGCTAACGAGAAAACTGAGACGCGTGGCAATGCCACTGAATGCAACTTAACAAGTAATTTAGTCTGCTGTTAACCTTTCACCTGCCTTAATGGGACACAGTTCTCTTTCTATCCTTATATATTTTTTGTTTTCATGAAAGTAGTGATATGACATGAAATCTATATTTAATGGATGTTATAAAAATACATAAAGCATTTATTGCCTTAATTGATATAGATTGTAGATTAGATTTATTGCAATATAATAAAGAACAATTGAAACATTCTTCAAAAGCTAATGATTTCTGTCTTTTTTTCTCTGTCTTTCAGACCTCCACTGCTGGCTCTGTCGTCCTCAAGAGAATCAGCAAGAAGATCTAAAACTGACCTTTAACATATTGTACAGTTAAAATGGAGAGCTCAAATTTGTAAAAGTGAGCAATAAATTACCAGTTATAACAACATGAACATCTGCTTCTGTTCGTTATTTAGAAATGCTTTTTTTTTTTTTTGGTTGAAATGTGTAAGCCAGAAAATCTGGAATACTATAGGAATTGACTTGAAAGTGAGGGAACTGAACACAACTCGTGTAAAACAGGGAGCTAATAATGTCATGGGTCATTGTTTTAGTGTTAAAAAAGATACAACCCAAAACAGTATTTAGATATTCCTCTGCAGAGAGTACGCTCAGGAAGATATCAATGTAATACATGATGCAAAAATTGCATATTAGTGCATAATCTCCTCTAAACTTGTTTCTTCTCATCATGTCACTTTATCTTTCCTTAAATTGTGTTAAAAATCAATGTTGTTATCAGTGAAGATTGTTAGAATTGCAAACTTTTACCATAATAATTTACTGGGCATGGTTGTTCTGTTTAAAACAGCAGCTAGAATCATAGTTGAGTGGCCAAAAAAAGGATGATGTTCTAAGCCATTTGGTTGGACGTAATAATGATAATAATTACCTAAAAAACATAACACCAAATGTTATTTTTAGCACACTTCACAAAGGTAGCATTTGTGCTAAATTGCTACTGACAAAAGTAAAAAAAAATGAGAAAAACTACATTTAGAGTAAAGTATAAAAAGTAACTATCGCAAAACATTAGGGCTTTTTTATGTCTTCTGATTGCCAACAACTTTTGAAAACCAACTCCTCTAAACAGCTGGATTTACCTCCACCAATTATTCTCAACAGCCATGTGATCTAATAAAGACTACTGCAAACAATTAGGCTTATACTAATCTAATACAACAACTGTAAATGTACTGTAACAACTGTATATATACATATATATATATATATATATATATATATATATATATATATATATATATA